GTGAATCTGTAGGTTTGTAGTAAACACTAGTACATAAGCCGTTGCCTTCAATTGCAATTTTGATGTCCAGAAAAGCTAACGAAGTGTCAGAAATTTTCCAGGTATATTTAAGAGCCGGATGGAAGGAATTGACGGCGGTTATAAATTGAGTGAGCTCTTCTTTGGTAGAGGAGGTAGCACCGATGCAATCGTTAGTGTAGCGGCCGTAGAGTTCAGGTTTTGGGCCGTGATATTGGCCAAAAAATTGATGTTCGATAAAACCTACAAAAAGGTTGGCGTAGCTGGGTCCCATTTTAGTACCCATGGCCACGCCATTAGTTTCTTTGTAGTAGTTACCACCGAATGAAAAGCAGTTGAGTGTGAGTACTAGTTTGGCCAGACGGAGTAGTGTTTCAGAACTAGGTTCCTTAACAATGCGTTGATCGAAAAAGTGTTTGAGGGCCCGGAGACCTTTGTCATTGGGAATGACAGTGTAAAGAGATGTTATTTATATCCATGGTGAAAATAAGTTTGTTTTGGTCGAGGAAACTAAAGTCACGAAAAATTTCAATTTTTTTTGGTGGGAATTGGTCTGGGCGTACTATGATGAAGGAAGATTTAAGGAAGCCTTTCGCATATCAAGGAATACGTTTAGCTTAATTTTGAGGAGTATTTGACTTGATGTTGAGAGAGATTTTGTCACGGAGCAGCCCGTTTCTGCCAAATGTAGGCTGGCTATATGTCTTTACGGATTAGATAGAGGTGACTACTGATACAGCATTGCGGAGCTGTTTGGCCTGGGTGTGATGACCGTTCACAAAATCATCGAGGAAGTATATGAAGCGATCATAAGAAACCTGTGGAAACCTTTGGTGCAAGCAAAATTTTCCAATCACCAAAGAGAATATTATGGAGAAACGGTGAATATGACAGCGTTTTGGCAATCCCCTGCTGCTGGGGTGCTATAGATGGGTGCCACATCCCCATTCAGTGCCCTCCTGGCGGTCTGAAAGCCTATAAGGAGTATCATAACTTTAAGAACTTTTACTCAATAGTATTGATGACCATCGTAGATGTACAGGATCACTTCATATGGGCGTGTCGGTTTTCCAGGAAATTCACACGACTCCATCATTTTCCAGTCCACTGATTTGTGGCACAACATTACTGAAAACAACATCGTACCATCAATTTCTCAAGTCAATGAAGGTACCAAGGTTTACCTGATGATTTTGGGTTATTCTGCTTTCCCATTCAGAGTGTGGTTAATTAAACCATATGGTTATGCCAACCTTACACCTGAAGAGGGCTATTTTAACTATCATCTAAGCCGTGCAAGAACTGTAACTGAGCGAGCCTATGGATAACTGAAGAGCAGGTGGAGAGTTTTGTATCAAAAGCTAGAATGTAGACCAGATTCGGTGAAACTGGCTGCGCTCGCGTGTATTGTACTTCACAACATCTGCATTGCTACAGAGGGCAGCCTTCCTGCCCAACTAGATTTGTCAATTGATCCTTTTACACCAAAGAAAAGGTCCAGAGAAGAAATACGAGATCTTTTGCAGATGCGCAGCTTCCCCAAGAGAAAGGATTCATATTACAAAGCTGGAGCAATAAGGGAGGCTCTGACCAGGAAAATGTGGCAGGAAAAAGAAGCAAATGAACTGGAAATGTAGACATGATTAAGACAATTTATTTGTCATCCATGTTATTTTCAAATTTTTCCAGAGATTGTAACAGATAAATCACTTCACATTTCTTGTAAACTTCATAAAAGCAACAGTGTGTTGTTCCATAAAATATTCAACGCCCCTGTGAAGTTTTTTGTTAGACCTCAAACTCCCGCTAACTCCAGCAACCGTCTTAAACTTTAGCACGTACTTCAAGAACCTGCTATTTGCCTTCACTCCAGAACGTGAGTTCTATGCTCTCAATCCACGGGGGTAGAAATTAATATTTTGTGGAACTGTCTTAATTTCAACTGAGGCAGTACATGTACTAGCCCTGCAAATCGGCATTAGAAGTAAAACGTGCCTACTTCTCTATTACATTTCTTTTTAGTACACATAACAGAAAATGAATCAAATCTGACTAAAGGTATTGAATGTCATGACATTCCTGATACCTTTGTTGCGTTACTTCTCACCAATGCTTAAGCGACCTATTTTAAATGCAAGTTAGATATGCACAGGTCTCGAGTTCATGTTCAAGCAAGCAATGATAGTCATTGGATCAAGGAATACTATTAATATATGACATTACGCTGAATCACTGTATATTTTTCAGACATTACATACAGGACCATGAGATGAACACTGTTATGATGAGAATTGCAATATTGTAATTCAGTTGTTATTTCCTTCTTTAAAGAAATGTATTGATTCTTTCATCATATTATTTTCCTTTGTTTTCCAACTTTTGTAGTATACACTACTGGTTTCCCAATGCGACCTATTGTTTCCTTTTGTGGTTCTCCGACATACCAACTGTTCAAGTACCTAACGACAATGCTACAACCGCTCACTGATAAATCCAGACTACAATCCAAAGGGGACTTCATTAACGCCACTAAGACTGTACAGATACTTGACGACTACAAACTAGTGTCGTTTGATGTGAAATCGCTTTTTACAAGTATTCCACTTCAACTGGCACCAAAATGTACTGAGAATGCTATACTACAATCTACAGACCCTCTACCGCTACCGACAGAGGACATTATGGACTTACTAATCCTTTGCCTGACATCAACTTACTTTCAGTACAGCGACAAACACTACAAATAGTTACACGGTACAGCTATGGGTCTCCAGTTTCTGTTGTTGTAGCAGAAATTTTGATGCAGAACATTGAGGAAAGCACCCTTTTGAACTGCCGACAGACGATACCACTCTGTTTATGCTACGTTGACGATACTTTCACTGCCTTACGACATGACGAAATTGACGCATTCCATCACCACCTTAACGAACAAAACACTGACATACAGTTTCCTAGGGAGATCAAAGAAAATGGTAAACTACATTTCCTAGACTGCTTGGTAAGCCGTGATGACAATTCGCTAAGGACAACAGTTTACAGGAAACCGACACATACCGACAGATTACTAGACGAGTCATCCTACAACCTGACATCACACAAAGCCACCACTATCAGGACACTTACCCGACGAGCGCAATTAGTGCGTAATACGACAGATAGTTTATCCAACGAGAACAAGTACCTTAACTGTGTTTTTTCAAAGAACAACTTCAACGAAGACTTCATCCAACGTAACACTCACAGACCTACTACTACTACCGAAGCTAACGACAACGCAACTCCTACGAACACAGCCACTACACCATACATAAAGGGCATATCTGAGACCATCTCACGCATCCTACAACCATTCAATATCCGCGTCGCTC